AAATGCACAGTAGTGAGGACCAGTCTGTTTAATTCATGAGGGGAATGAACTGCTGACATATCTTCAAAGTCAATATACATCAATTCAGTCTTCTGAACTTAACCAAGATCTTTGCGAGCAATAGGCTGATAGTTAGATGACTAAAGAGATGGTATTATAAAGTGAATTATTAACAAAACAAGTCCTTAAATTCAGTAAAAATCCAAATTAGATTACAGTAAGACCCTGATTAATGCTGATTCAATATAACATGGTCTGCTTGACGCCTAAAAAACGCTCAAAATTTATGATGATTCAAATTAACGCAGTATTTCATTGATTCGTATATAATACGATCATTCCCAAACACAAACCAATCAGCAAAAGGTGGCAATTTGTTGTAGTGCTGCATTTCCCTTAAATCTATTGTTTTGTGCATTTTGAAAAAAATATAACATCATGGATGCCATAGGCAATATCGACTTCGCTTGGCAAGAATTAACTGATAAATGCATGAATGGAGTGTGAAAGTAATTATAGCTAAAGGTGTCCAAGAATTCTCATTGAGAATAGCCTATTGCTATATCATTAGGTTGACAAAATTGTCAACTTAATCGATACAGGAGATGTAGATGAGCAGGATATTGGGGTTACTGCAGGTTTCTGGTAAGAGCCTTACCAATGACGACCTTCAAAAACTGGCAGAGAACAAGGAATTCATGTATAACTGTAAAATAGAGATTCTGAAGACAAAGAATCCAAAAAATTTCTCTATAGTTTTCCTTAGTAAAAGTTTGGTAACGATAACTGAAATCATTGATCAAATTGTAGCGAATGATCCAGATTTTGATAGGAGTGCCAAAGTAAAACGAGGCGTTTGTGATAAAATCTTCTGCTACCGACATTTGCTTAAGGAAAGAAAAAGAAAGCGACCAATGAAACTATACAACTTCATCACAAAAAAATAAGAATTTCAGAATAGCCAGGACTTTCGTCACAAAAAAATTAACTTTACATTTCTGCGTGCTTATGTTTGTGTTATTTAACATATATTATTATGCAAAAATGTATATAAAAATAACTTAAAATTATAGTAAAATGTGCTTATTTTTTGGTCATGTGTTCCCCTATCTCTATCTACTCTACGTTAAAATGGTCTCATTTAATGCTGTTTCATTTAGCACTTTGTTGTCTAGGAATGCATCCCTCACGTTAAGTGGGGTCTTACTGTACTATATAAAATTTATTAAAACCACATCATGTGAAATCATCCACTAATAATTCAATATTATAACAATAGTGTCATTTAAATATAAAATTTTAGATATTATTGCAGAAAACCATGAACGATTTGCTATTATTTTATTATAGTGAACTAAGACCTATCTTATTAATAGGATACTTACACTGGTGTGATAGTTATTTGCAATAAGTATGAGTTCTTAATCAGAAAAAACAAAACTCTATTTTTCACCTGTTGTTCCTGTACACATAATACACATATTTGTGTTTCGAACACATACATCCCTCATCAGCAGGTTTACAATGATGTTCTAAAAAGTACATAATAATTAAATTTTTATCTTACAACAGTTACCTAAAGTATGTTTGTTTTGTTACATTAGGGTGTGACTATGCAGATGAGAGCAAATAAATTTTCTGAGCGAGTGAGAATATGTGGCAAGAAGGTGATGACGTTTCTCGCTCTTGTTTATTATGACCACACAGACAAAAGTGAGAAACACAGATCATGAAAAGTCATCACCTCTTCTTGTCACATATTCTCATATAGTCGCACTCTTATGGTGTTGCCACCTTTTCAAAATCACTGACCCGGACGACAGGTGAGTTTTGTTCGAACAGAAGTTCCTGATGCATGCGCAATGTCATTTTGCAATGCGAAGAATAACATGTAGTGCATGTTGGTTCTAAATCAGATACAGTTAGGGACTAGGGAGACTTGGGTAGGAGTAATGTAAGTAACCTAAATTAAGAAAAAACAACTACAGATGACTTAGCCCTATTGAATATTGGATATGTGTACAAATACGAATCGTACAAGAAAAAAAAAAGTCAACAAAAAGTCAACAGGTTGCGCACGATATTCTCCAACAAAATTATTAGTTCACCTGGACAGCGAGTCAATTCCCAACTGTCTGGATGAAAACCAGACGGGTGATAACACTACTTATGGCAATGCAACACTTGGGCAATCTGCCTGGGGGATGCCTTTTGGAAGGTCTTTTTGAGGGTAACTGGGCCCATATTCAGGCATTACAAAGAAAACCCAGAAAACTCCACATGGCCAGTCCAGCCAGGCAAAGTGCAAACCCACAACTGAATTCCCAGTGTTCAGGAAACAGAACCTCTTGGCCACTGGTTGTCCCCTACCTAAAGTAACTTCTACCAAGTTAATTATATGTAGGCCACAGATTACCAAACTGCAGCTCACAAGACACATATGGCTCTATAATTTCCCTTTATAAACTTGGTACATAATACATATTCATATAAAGTATTTTTGTTTGTTTTCATACAAGGCTTATCTGCCCCTGATATGTGGTAAAAACTACAAAAAGTAGTTTTTACCACATAACCTCATTATTCTCATAATAACTAGGCAATTAATAAAAATAAAGCCATTAAACCACACACTAACATTCAGTTAATGAATATCACATCCTAAATCAGCTTCTAAAATGTATTTATAACACTAACAAAATGTTTAGAGTAAAACACAAATATCAAAATGGATGATTTCAACAAGCAACACACCACAACACAATTCATAAAAGGATTTTTTTAATACGCGCAGATAGGAAATAATCAATCAATAATGTAATTATAATATTATTTATAATGTCTCGATGACGTACGATTAATTTATAAACTTATTACAATTAACTGTAAGACGATGTTAATGGATAAACATACCTTATTTATTTTCTTTCTTACAGACGACTTTCGAAGATGGTAAAGGCGTAAAGCGACCTCTGCGTTATAGAATTCATTTTAAAATAAATTTATTTTAAAATAAAATTTTAACGTTTTTATTTCTTAATTTAAAAAAATCTAAAATAAAAATTAAATAAATATATTATATTTGCTTATTTATTTATTGTCTAAAATATTTATATATTTTTATNAGTTATATTATTTCAATTCAAAAAAATTTCCCGCTAAAAGTGTTAGATAAATGACCAACACTACTCTATTGTTAAAGGAAAAGTCTGATGTAAAGGGGCGCCATTACTAATTTGAGGCGGAGAGCATATATTTTAAATGAAATAACTTAATAATTGCTCGTTTTATTTATTTATAACCATAGAAATTCTTTCATATTTTTTCCGTCATAGCATTCTTTTATAAGTTATATTAAATTTATTTAGTTCTTCAAAGGTTTTATTTCTAGCGTATTTCTATATTGTTAACTTTGCTTCGTTATTATATTGCGTATTTTCGGTTGTACCATATGGAGAATCTTGGAATAAAGAAAACTGTGGGCCTAGCTGAGTTATGAAGGTTGGAATGATATATCCGAGAGATCTCCAAGCATATTCTTGAGGTTGCCCAACGGGATTCGATTCTGGGTCCCAAGAGCGGTAGGCTGACGCCTTAACATCTCGTCCATCACTTAAAAAATATTACATCGTCAATAAACCAGGCCCATGCGCAGGAATTTTAAAAGGGCAGAGTTTAAAAAAAAACAATTTCTTTTTCATAACGTGGTTTATTCATTTTTACAATTTAGGTAGATATACAGAATAACACAATACAGTTGACTAAGAGGGAGAAGAAAGAAGTTACGAAACTTTCTTCATGGTCAAATGAAACATTTTACTGTAATCATAATGACAATGGTAATAAGTGATTACAACAACATAGCAATGAGGAAATTTCCTGTGAAACAATGATACAATTTAAAGCAACTTTTAGTACCTTGTAGGACTTCCCTTGCCTTCATGCATACGTCGATACAGTCGAACATATTGGTATTAATGTATTGTATTGTATTGTATTCTGCGACAGATTTGCCCATAGATGTTGCAACTGCCTCTATGTCCCTCACACTCGTGCATGGCATTAGTCTAACAGATGTTTAAGAAAATTTAATGTCCGCAGTAGTTCTTACCCCTATAAAATTGTTATTTTATTCATAGAAAATGAATTATTTAAAACTCTTTTATTGATAAAGAAACATTTTATGTATTTTATTTGTTTAAAAAATGGCTAAAAGGACCCGATAAGAGACAAAGGAGGAACGACCTACTTCTGGGCCCCCCATACAAGTTCTCGAGGGCCCTGCCAATCTGTCGTCCGTTCCCAAACAATAGATCATTTATGGCACTATTGCAAACGAGACCGAGCATGCAAATTTACCACTGCTTTTTTAAAACTTTTCTCGCATTGTAGACACTAAAAGGGTACTTTTAGCAAGCCCATTATCGGTTCGGTCAGGCCCACAATGGAGGGAGGTTGGCTGACACTCTGGAGGAATTATCTAGACTGCAATCTGACCACAACTGTAACCATTTACCTATCTAGCTGAGACTGCTGTGTGCAGTTTTGCAGTAATTGGAGAATTATGCATAACTTTTTTGTCAATGAGTATATGGTCGAGTGGTCGTAAAGTCTCAGCTAGCCACTTTGCAGGTTTAAGGAGGTCTTTTTCATATGTCAAACCCTGTTCGTCACCATCCAACCATCCGCACTGTGGGCCTGACCAAACCAATGATGAGTATAATTAAAAATTCCATCTTTGACCAGTTACGAATTATGGGCAACTCCAATCATGCACACCCATAATCAATAAGGGATGAGAACAATAGCCCAATCTATACAAGATTCTGCCTCAGATTTGTATTCCCCACTACTGTAGTTTAACAACTTCACACCATGGCCATTTGGCCAATGGTTGAGCAACATAACACTAAAGTAGGCCTGTTGTACACATACATGAATGACTACGTCATTAGAACAGACACTTGATCATATGGGTTCGACTTGTTATTTTAAAATCTGAATGTACAGTACCCTGTACTTTATGCAAAGTAAAAACTCATTAGGTAATAGATATAAGAATAAATTATGAAAGTAATATCAGATTTTATTTTTTGGTGATCACAAATTTTAATATATAATATATCATGGTGTAAACATATTGCATTAAAAAACATGGCTGGGTTCGAATAAAAATTTGGCCTTCATATAATGTCTGTATGACATAATAAAACATCACAATTTAAGGCACTAAATTTGACTACAAATTTTTAACATGTTCCATACATGGCATGGATACAATAAATCTGTAAACAACAGCCTGTTTGTAACAGGATTACAGAGTAATTTGTGCAGAAATGCTGCGCTCTTGATTGACGCCGACAAATTTGCTAAAATCTATAGCTTTGAGTCTATGTAAAACTATACACACATTCATTGTTCGCATGATAATTAATATATAAACAGGATAAAGAAAATAAGTAATAAATGTTTAATTAACATGAGCAATAAGTATCGTTCATTGGCAAATTTAATTAATATCCCAGTCTTTTAAGCCCTATTTATACTATGAACGAAATTGCACTTATGTTTTAAAAACCACAAAAAAAATGCTACATATAAACAAAGCTAATAAAAATACAATTATTATACAAAATATTTACATTGAATGAGTGCGCAGAGTAAATGTTATTGCATTAGATGCAGATATCTTGTTTCTTCCATTAGCGAAGTCAGTGAGGTATTCATGTCATTAATAACCATATTTGTGGTTGTTAGAAGGGGTGAAACAGTGTTTTCGTTAGTCCTACTGGCAGTTGCAGAATTTGACTGTGTCGGTTTTATCTGCTCTTTATCCTTTTTATCTGTGCTGCTGCTAACTTTATTACATCCGGGTGACAACTCCATTTGATGATTAGAAACTGGAAACTTAGACTGATTAGTGAAATTATTTCCTTGAACAGATGGCGGTGTTTTATCCGCTAGCAGTTGTTGGCACTGTTGAACGTACTCTAGCGTACGTTGATAAGCTTCTGGTGGCATGCTTACTAATGAAGATTGGCTGATATTTTGACACTGTATTTCTGGCTTTTGATTGGAACAATTATGACAAGGAGAGTTTGGAGAAGGATGTTGGCGTAACTGAGTCATTGAAGAAAGTTCGGCATTGCAACTTTTGCAATTTTGGCACTGTTGATTATTCACAGGTGCTGGAAACTGTGTCATAACTGGTTGAGGTGGAGGCAAAGAAGGAGGAGGAGGAGGAGGAGGAGGAGGAGGTGGTGGTGGAGGAGGTGGAGGTGCAAGTGTTTCTTTTTTGTTACAATTATTACAAGTTGAATTAGGAAGTGGATGAGGAATTGGATGCTTTACAGTTTGCTCACTTCCATGATGATTACATATGTTACCTTGTGGAAAACATTGAGAGTTTTGTTTAGAAATTTGCCTTTGATCTGTGCCTGTGTAACAAAAGTGATTGAAAGACTGATTTTGTGGTAATGGTGGTCTTTGAATTTGTGGAACAGGTATAACAGGAGGAGGATGCTGAAAATGTTTTGCAGAGGGTGGAGATGAAGCTTGAAAGGGACTTTCTTGATGTCTACATTGTGTTGTAGTTGATTGTTTATTAAATTTACCTGATTCACTTCCTTCTTGTCTTGGCATCATCCACTGTGGCTTATTTTGACCTTGTGGAGAACAATACTGCATATTATGACCATTGGTATTAGAATATGGTGAATTCTGTCCTGGAAATGGCATGCTTTGTGCATTTGTGTGATAATAATGTTGAGGTTGAAAACGTCTTTCTGGTTGAGACCCATTTTCACTTGGATCGTTTATATATATTTGGTGAGGTGTTTCTTCATGTCCATTCTGCATATTCCACATCTTACCTGGATTTTGTAACTGAGAATAATATGATTCTCGTGGAACTGGTGTCTGCTGACTAGTTTGAGCATAATAATGAGATGGATGAGAAACACAGTCTGACTGCAACCTGTAGTTATTCACTACAGGATGAGGTTGATTATATGGTACATTATTGGAATGATATGCATGGTCTGAATAATTACCATTGTGTATGTGATTATTTGATTGAGATCTATTTGTATTATTTGCATTCATTGCATATGTTTGCTGAGTATTGCGATTAGTTATACAATTTGGACTATACGTTGTAGTTTGGTTATTACAGTAACTATGGTCATTGTCTGGAAAATAAGGTAGTCTATTATTTGATTGATGTTGCATTTCCTCATACTGACTAACACTAGATACAGCATGACTGAAATGAGAATGTGGACGATCTGGTTCTTGCTGAGATTTTTCAGCAACTTGGTTAAGATAATGAACCATATCATCGGGAAGCACTAGATCTTTGTTCTCTTCTATTGGGCGATCTTCTAAGACAACATTTTCATTAGGATGATTAGTTCTTCCATCCTGTACACTATGTTTTGACATTGAAGATCGAGATATTGGAGGAAGAGGTGAGAGTTTACTAAAGCTATTAAATCTCTGTAACTTATCTCCTGCATTTACATCTAGAGGTCTTAAAGGATCACTTGAACGACGTGCATCCTTATAGGGAGAACACTGAGGTATTGAATTGTGCTCAGAAAGGCTTGTTTGGCCTTCTGTCCAATTATTTTCTCCCTGAGTATTATAATTTTGAGTTTGAACAACTAAATTTTGAGTTGAATTTAAATGTTGAGAAGCTAATGCACGTGAATGAATTCTCTGAAGATGAGCAGCAACTCCAGCAGGAATCCCTGTGCTGCTTCCAACTTCACTAGAGCGACGCGAGCTTCCTAATGATATTGGATCATATGGAGAATGAAATCCTCCGACACTCCGAGATATTTCACTTCCACGTCTGCTAGATATCTGACTGCTTACTGGCTGTGCACTAATATCAGAATGCAGACTGCTGTAGAAAGAACTAACAGAACTGTTACTGCTGTCCTGACGAATATTTTTACGATGTGTTACACATCCAGATAATCTGGTTAAATCTATATTAGAAATAAAGAATTATATACTTAAAACTATAAATATTTTTACCTAATTCAAGTAATAAAAAAGTTAGATTTTGTTAACACATACCTGAATTTGGAAGTATGGTTATATTATTTTTAGAATTTTTACTACTAATAATTTCAGGAAGCTTCGATGGACATGTTTGATGATTTGTCGTAGTGTGACTGTTCCATTGTTTCACTATAAACAAAATTTTACTTAAAGTTATTAAAATATAAAATGAAAAATTTAAATGTATACAGGTGCAATTAATATAATAAGTAAAATTAAATAAGAACATGACCATTCAACATAACAAAAATTATATAATTACTTAACTCTAATTGATCAAAAAATATAATAAATAGCTTTAAAAATATTTAAAGCTATTCACCTTTCCTAGAATTTAGAAGATTTGGTAACCAAGAAGTTGCAGATTTTAATTGTGATTGTATCCTTGTTTTAATTCTGTTACAGGTATTTCTTGTTATTTCAACATTATTGCCAGAAGAAGTAACTGCTGTTGATACTGTCACAACAGGTTCTTCAATCTAAAAATAAGATAGAAATGAGAATCAATAATCCTCAAAATCAACTACTTGGCATTAAAACTGGTAGTTTAAGGTATTTTGATACATTCTCAGAAAAATATTAACTAAATCCGTCATTAGTATCAACATAAATAATTTTCAATCAAATAGTTTCCTCCAGTTGAAAAAATATAATTTTATGCAATTATATTATAATTTTAAAATTATTTTACATATTTTAAGGAAATTTTAGTTTAGAAATCTAAGATTAAGAAATTTAACAGATATAAAAAACAATAATGTATTTGCCTAGCTTACTGAGGTTGTGTATTTAAATTCTATTCACTGCAGAATTTCTCCAAATGATTCTACATTAATTATTAAAATACATGTATCTCTCATACAATAATACTTCTACAACATGACTCAGATTCGCTCTAACATGGAAATTCTCCATACAAAATTTCATAATTTTTAAGCGTAAACTTTGTTATTCTATATTTTTTTTTATTCAAGTAAGAACACTTGTCTCAAATTTGCCCATAGATTTTAGAATATTGAAATTTTCAATTTGTTTTGTGCCTTTTGTCAGGTTTACTTTAATGAATACCGAAATTAGTATTTTTTCTTTCTTGTCCTAGCTTTCCTATCAACCAAGTGTCATTGTCATTGTTTTCAGACTTTAGTCCTTAAGACTGTCACTGTGCTTTCTTTCTATAGATTAATCTTCGTATTCAGTAAAGTTTATTTAAACATTTGTAGGTAAGTGTTACTAAACTTTTTTTAACCATAGATATTACTTACCTACAAATGATTACTTCACTGTAAAAATGATGAATGAAATATGGTGGTATCTCAAAACAATTCCGTATTCAAGCACAAATTCTGGGAAAAAAATTGCTTGATACTCAACCAAATAAACGCGATGAGATAGAACAAATTACCGATTAATAACATATTTTTATTTTGTCATCCATAAAATATTATAGTACAGATTTGCATAACATGGCACATTTTCGGAATGTATCTATGTGTTATATGAGGAATATTCATATTCCTATTTTCTGTAATTAATAATAGTTAATGACTCTGTAAAAGATCATTACATGACATTAATTCCTGTTTAGTCAATATACAATAATGAATATGAACTCGTTTGAATACAATTCATTTGTAGAAGTTTCACTGAAACATGTTATTCTACATTTTGATTTAAATATACTTTCATTCGATATACAGTATGAAATTTAGAATAAAATTTTGATTTCTTATAAAATAAAAAAATGGAATCACATATGCAGAGTATATCTTCAAACTCTATGATTATCAAATGGGAAATGTAATAACTTATTTAACAACATATCAGATGATCAAACAGAGTTTACTTGTAAAAAGTGGACTTCATGATAACAACAAGGAGTTTCAATGTTATCCCTAAAGTCTATAGTATATAAATGTTCAAGATTTAAGTGTTTCTTCTTATGATATGTAACAAGATAGTAATAAGCACAACTAAGTCGTGAAATTGCCTATACTACTTCATGCAAGTAAACTTTTAATCTGATCATCCAATATAATCAAAATAGATATATATAAACTAGATTTTCTCACATCTATTTCTTGATTTTCCATAATATCCCAACCGACATCTGCTTCTATTCCTTCCAGAGGTCCACTTGTTGTTGATACACTATTATCACTAATAGGTGCTGGATCTGTTGCATCACCAGGACTACTACCTTCTTGTTCCTGTGAAAATTTAAATATTTAATATATTCAATAATATTATAAAACTATTAAATTTAATTTTAACCAAACCTCTGATTTAACACTTGGGCTGGAAAGACTTGCAGGATTTCCACTTCCAATTCCTTCTTCAGAATGAGGACTTGAAGGATTTTCTGAGTTTTTCTCTTCTCTAGGACCATCGTTGCTTCCTGAGTCTCCATCACCACCTTTATGCTTTTTATTAGCATAAAATTCTGGCCCGTGTACTGTTTTTACATGTTTGCGCAAAGAACTAGGATCCGTGTATCTTTTCGTACATCCAGGTGCTTTACAAACATAAGGTTTCTAAATAAAAAATAGTGTTTGTCATTTATTTTTTTATATGTAAAAAGTAAAACATACATTTACTTTCATATAATATTATATCATTTTTAAAATTTAAAAATTTTATAAATTTATATACATAATAGAAAATAAAATAAAATATCAATAGATATGGTAAAATTCAGACAATCCGCTGAATTATCTGGCTACAACAAGATCAAGTTAACAATTACACAGGAGGAACCTATATGGTTATATCCAAACCAGCAGTTCTGGAATCAAAGATTAGATGGACCTCCGATCTTCACTTCCAGAATTGCTGGTTTGGATATAACCATACAGATCACTCATATCTAATTGCTAACTGGCCTTGTTGTAGCCAGATAATTCAGCGGATTGTCTGACTTTAGTCGAGAGTTAGATTTATGGAGTTGTCATTTATGTAGATATGGTAATAAAGATTCTGATGGTAACATCTTTTCTGATTTTGATTTATTTATGGAACATGAAATATAGTTATTACATAGATCTTCATATAAACAAGCAATTACAATCAAGTATTGCTTCATCTTGCTAAGATTTACATTTCTAGTAGTGAAACACTATGCCATAATTCAATGATGATTGCTGAAGGCTATTGAAAATGTTTGTTTTTGGGTAAATAGTATGTTTTTTATTGAATTTGGGTTTTATTTAAAGTTATTCATAATTTATCCAGTTTCTGTACTGGTTGTATTAAACTGTATTATCGATAATCTATTAGTTTCTTTGATTTAGATACAATGACTTATCTAATTTCTGTGAAAGATTACAAAAATATAAGTGAGAGGATACAAAAATGCTACAACAATTATCACAGTTAAATGGAAACTGGTCAACATATGAAAGCATAAATAAAATTTCAGCCCTGAATGATGGTTTGAATCCCCTAGATGACAAAAAGTCAAAGGATCTCTTATTGTGACCCTTGGCTAGATATTCAAAAATCACTAGGCTGCTTATTAAACATGCAACAGGCTTAATACAGCATACAGTATGACTCTGATTGCTCCCTGGAAGTAGTCAATGAAATGACGTTTCTTATTTTTCATGAACTTTTAAATTTTATCTCATTTTTGAGTGTCTTGAAAATTTCAGATAGGCCAATTTCAGGGATGTATATGTTGAAAAGGATGGTGTGTGGACCATCAGTTTCTTTGACATTTTTTTTAATCCTACAGGCATGATCTATAGCTCTAATATGGTCCCAACTGACTCATTCAGAGCTGCATTTATACAAAAACATGCCTTTGGTTGACATCAATATTCAAATTCATATAACTCTTATTCATTGCTGAATTGATCAAATTATCTTTTAAATATGTATGTCAGTGATGTCAAACAATACATTTTATTTTATAACAGAAAGTACAGTATGCACCAAAATATATAGTACTGAAACTCATGCATCTCAAATGTGCATTTGATGGAGCATAGCTCTGGCAACACAAGTTGTGTTATTCAGTTGTTTTTGGAAATGGGTCTCTCAATAGAAAAAAGTATTCATTATTTCTGCTCATATGGAATGGTTGTGAAGGGAAATGGGTTTGAAAAAGGTGATAGAACAATTCTGAGAGAGATTTAAAAAGACAGCACAAAATAACAGAGTTATGCTGTTTATTGTTACGAAATTTTACCATTCTGATACTATACTGTGTCAATGGAAGGAGAAGTTTGGTCAACCAGTTCCAGGATATGTTTGAGAATCTGCATGAACAATATGAACACTGCCTACAGCGAGGCGATGTACACTTTGAACACCTATGTTACACATACCTTGGAAAATCAACACACTAATAGAGTATTTGTTAGTTTCTTTCAAAAGAAATAAACTCAGATGACAACAAGTTAATATTGTTCGTCTTTTCATTTCAGTACTCTTTATTTTGGTGCATAATGTATTTTTGTCTGGAATATATTTAAACTGTTTTTGGTCATTTCACAAAAATTAAAATACTAAAATATGTTAATAATATATGTATGTAATATTTTGTATCACATTATTCACATAATGTGATATGAAAATGAACTAAATAAATAAAAGAGCAACAGAATCAATTTTTTAGAAAATTGATGAAAGAAAATGTCATTTTAGTGGTTTATCTTTATATATGGTGAATCTTAATGGTCTCTGGGATTTTGACAAACCACAACACCATACAGATAAGAGATACAGAATTAGATTACATTATGAAAATCTCACAAGTTTTATATGTGTGTGCACAGGAGAATATCTCACAAGGTTTATGGGCCATTTTTCTTTGATGAGGCAACCATTACTGGCATCATGTTTCTTGATATGCTTCAGCTGTAGCTAATGGTGCAACTTCATGATTGTGCTGACTTCATTCTTCAATTAGATGGAGCTACACCACAATTTAGCAGTGACATGCCTATCTCAATGAGCAATTACCCATAGAATGGATTGGCTTTTGCAACTGCCCAGAAACAAGTGCATTTAGCTTAGCTATCTCAATCACCAGATTTAACACTGATTTTTTCCCATGGGACTACATTAAGGACAAGGTGCTTGTGCCATCCTTATTCTGAGACTTAATAGAACTGAAATTGCATTACCACAGCTATCACTCAGGTGAGCAGAGAATTTTGAACCATACATGAAACAAATTGGGTTAAAAAGATGGACACATCAAGAGTTTGTAAGATACATATAAAGCTTTTAATATTTCTCCTTCCATTATAGTGTAAAGATAATAGCAAATCAAAATCCTATTGTGACTATTAGCCTGGAATCTACAATATTCTATTATTCACACTTTACTTTCATATTTGGGATTGTTGGAATATCTTTTTTTTATTTCATTTATTTGTACAAAGTAGCCACAAAGTTTCTATATACAAGGCTGTAACTTGAATTAATTATTTATTTTATCTCCGTTAGTATGATAGACACAGAATAGGTGACAGAAGATAGTTCTTAAAGTTCTCCTTACATCACACACTATCATTACTTTAAAATATTTTTTACAAAAATGGCTATCAGTAGAAATTAATAGATTTCAAGATTATGATATCTATAATGTATTTAGGAAATGTTCAGGAAAACCAGTAATCGTATGTTATAAGAGACTGATTAAAATAAGATCAGTTGGATCTCTAAACACATAGATTTTAAAATATATTTAGTTTCTGTTCAAATGTATATTTTTTAACTTTAAGATATTCTTATTTATTAATTCACTAGTGACATAAGCATACCATGTACTGAGCTTTATAATACACTCAAATTTAAACAAAATAAATATAAGATTAAAATTACTTAAATATTCAGAGTGTCTACAAATGTTCCTACAATTTTGATATTTTATTACTTATGCTTGATTTAAGTAGCTACTTTGATATAAAAACTACATGAAAGAACTCTCAAAATTCATGTCTTTGTAGCAATGTTCCAGGAAAAGCTGTACGAACCAATCTTATTCATCAAATCCACAAAGACAGGATTCATCTATCTGGACATGCTCTGTGGATGGTTAATGTCCTAAGCTGAAAGAATATATTCTAAACCTAATTTTCTTAACAAGATAACACTCCACTGCATTTTTACAATGACTTGAGATAATACTTTAACTAACATCTTCCTTAGCATTAGATTATGTACATAGGCCCTATAGAATGGTCTTCCAGATTGTCTGATATGATGCCACTGGATTTCTTTGTGGGATTTTTTGAAAGACAGTGTCTACATCCCTGTTGCCAAGAATTTAAGTATTAAAAGAAATACTAAAATTATACACCTATATAGAAAAATATCATTATTAACAGCATATATAAACTTAATTACATATTTTTATTTTCAATTCATTTTGTTTTCTTGTAAGTTATTTATGAAAATGTAAATTCTCTGCTTACATAACAATAAGTTGTTTTTGCCTAATAGATAAATAATAAAGAATACATGTTCAAAGTATTAAAATAATAAATTAAAAGGAATAATAGAAATAAAATGTAAAAAAAAATTAAATTTGTAAAGTATAAAAATCAATATGTAGAGTAGAAGATAATAAAATGAAAGGAGATATGAGTGCAAGTTTTCCTAAACTGTAATGGATGCAACTTGATAATATAAAATGAATATAAATTTGCTTAGATTCATTAATATGCTATTCATAAATATATTTAAATTCTGAGAAGTTCTTTAACCAGATTTTTCTTTCGGAGTGTCATCACTTGCATATTAAAAATGAAACACCTCACGTGGCTAGATGTAAATAAATTGCTTCATTATCTTCTTTTTGGCACTCCCTAACTTTTGTAACTTTTTTAAATGAAGATGTAATAGATTTGTCAAACTTATTAACAAAAAAAAAAGATTACAATTTAGTTATTTTTTTACAGCTCAATAATTGATTTCCATTATCTAATTAAAATTTTAAATTTGTCCATTTATATATATATTTTTTTTATTATAATCATTGCTATGAAAGGAAGTTTATGTTTATTATTTGATACAAAATACTATTTTAGATATATTTTAAATAAAATACCTCATTAGAATGAGTCCTATTTTGATGCTTGGCTCTATCAGAAGCATTACTGAAAGCTTTGGTGCAGCCAGGAAATTCACACATGTAAGGTTTTTCTCCAGTATGAGATCTTAGATGTGTCTTTAGATTTTCTAATCTAGAATAGGCTTTGGCACAACCTTCAAACTGTAAACAATAATATTAAAAATATATTTTTTATATTAATTAAACTTTATTTCAATTGCAATAAATAAATGATATTTAGATAAATATAAATTTTAATGAAACTTTCTGCCTAAGAGGGAATTTGTATATATCAAGCATGAACTTGACTAGACACAGAATTGAGTGATCAAGTAATGAAGTATACGGTTCAATATATCTTGGAAAATAAAAATTTCTAATACATTCTTCATACTGCATGCAAAATATAAACATTTGGCAGTTTTCCAACTATAATATAAGATCAATTATTTTCACTTTTAAACTTGTTTGATTCATAAGAAAAGGATCTGATTCATCTACTTCATTGATCTTGAGTCTAATAAGAAATTCACTCGAGTGATTTCAGTCTATCTGTCTACGGACGGGGACAAACAGGATACTTGTCCCTTGGGATGGATGTATAATCATAAAAGTGATAAGAGATATGTAACTTTATACTCATGATCATGAGACTCTTTAATGCAATACTGTATTCTGTAATCTACATGCGAAAAAACCCAAAAAAAGTTAAATAAAATTTATTGGTATAATTATTGGTCTACTAGCTTTGCCCCCTGGAAAATTTTCCACAGATGCCCTTGATCCCCACTCAGTTGTCCTCATTGCTGGACTAGCCAAATCCATGACAGGCATGAAAAAGAAAAACCCTCTTAATGTTAGTAAGGAATTAAAAACCAAACATTAATTAATATTTAAATGATATTCATCAAATTTATATAAAATATTTTCTACTTTCACAAAAGCAAGATTAAATGGATTTCTTTTATAGATACTAATCCATTAATTAATTAATTAATATAGTAATTTGATTTGTACATTTTTAAATTCATGACATGCAAGAATTCATTTAAATAGTTCCAAAATTATCTCTAAAATTAGAAAGTATGACTAAAATAATTTGGAATTTATATGTTAAAATGGATACTTTTTGCGTTTATTACCGTGCATTTATGCGGTTTTTCGCCAGTGTGCCTCCTCATGTGGACGACCAACATGTATTGAGCTTTAAATGGCTTTTCATCCCTTGAACAATCTCTCCATTTGCAAACAAAAGATTTCTTGTTTCCATGTATGTGATCATTGCTAATATGCTAAAAATTATAAAGAAAAAACTTTATATATAATAACAGCCAATATAATAATATAAATTTTTATCAAAAAATTACTAACTTTAACAAGTTCTTCCTGAGTATTAAATTCTCTATTGCAACCTTTCCAGTGGCAATTGGTTTCAATGAAGTCGCCGGGTTCATCTTTAAGATCTGCCGTCGTTTCTCGATCGTCGTCACCCATACCGACATCACCGACCGTACTACTTGCAACTTCCTTTTTAACTTTCATCCTAGCTTCTTCTGTATCTACAGTACTACTAACGACATTGCTGGCAGTTTCACATCCATTTGAAGCATCTGTCTTCAAAAAACATTTAAAGTTAAAACTAGAATATAATGTATATATATTTTTCTCTTTATTATGTGGGTATTGAAACAATTTCTTTTCATATTCATTAAGGATTTTGCCACATCCACAATGGAACAGCCTGATATATTCAGATTACACTGCCCATGAAAATTTCTGAAGATGTGGCTTAGACTTAAACTGAAGTTCTCCAGAATGGTAGGTTCACACTGTTAATGCTTCGTCAATCTTGCTGTCAATGTAAGGTACTTCCAAACATAATACTTAAACATTTTTAAGAAATCCAAATTTTATTTTTTGACATTTTTCAAGTTTCCTTCCTAATCTCATTTTCAGCATGTGTATAAGTGATTTTGATTAAGGATTTGCCATTAGGCATCTACCTCCCAGTCCACTTACACCACTGACCCTGAAATGCATGCCAACCTCCCTAATACCAGGCTAATAAGACTTCTAAACCGACTGTATTAGGGCCCTAGAAGCCTTAGAGATGTACAAGGCTAGCCTGATGTGCAAATAATCAACTGTAAGGCCTACAGTATAATAAAAACATGTTCTATATTTCAATAAATAAAATTTTTAAATATATTTTAATTTTTTATATTAAAAAATTTTAAATAAACTTGGAGGTTTTTTCCATATTTAAATTAATAATCAAAACAAGTAATTCATCCTAAAACTGTAAATAAAAAATTCTAAAAACTTACTCTTAAAGAGATAGATACCATTACAGTCGACCCTCCCTATAACACTGTTGATTTTTCAGTTTTATATGAATTCCTTGTTGTATGAGTCACTTAGATTTTACAAATATGTGAGCTGTTCACAGCCCAGCACACATATTTGTAAAATCTAAGTGACTCGTACAACATGGAATTCATATAAAACGGAAAAATCAACAGTGTTATAGGGGGGTCAACTGTAATTTGAAATAAAAATTATACAATTAACTATAGCAAATTAATGTTTGGCTGTCGGTATTCAGTATTGATGATTCTTCTCTGCTGTAATTCTATAAGTAATTCATCAATTGTTTTTGCACAAACTGGTGTTTGTCTTGTGTTACTGTCATACTTGTGGTACGCTTGACAGTTCTGGGAACTCCATTAGATATTTCTATCAGTAAAGTTTTTCACAATCAGAAGAAAAGACAGGAGTCATAAACAGTAACGAAAAAGAAAAACAAGATGACATCAAATTAACAGTTGCGTTAACATTTTATCCCTTTCATTTGTAAATTTCCATTTCAATTCCCAAGTTAATAGATACATCTTAATTTATAGCACTAAAACAATTATATAACTTCAAAAATTACTTAAAAATCATCGTTTAATATAATTTTTGTTTATAAGAAATGAAAATCTTCATTTAAATTTGCAGTATTAAAAGAAGAGCAAGCAGATTGATAATGTATAAAAAGTTAATTTAAATTGCTGCAAAGGAATTATAAACAGTTTTGTTGTAATTATTAATTGGGTATAACTCGGTAATGATTGAAGATTATTAAAAGATTTATTTTATATAACTGTATGCTGCATTACTATTTAATTCTTACATAAAAAATTCCACTCCTCGGAAACATCTGACATGAAATTTAAATTTATAATTTTACAGATGATTACACTTATACTTTGTAACATTAATAAAACTAATTAGCTTATGAAAAACTGATATTTTCTCTACTTAACTCTTATACATCATAATTAATTAAAAATACTTACTGTCCCATCTGCTTTTGTGACATTTGTATTTACACCAATAGGAACAGGACCAGATATAATGGATTGTTGAGCAAGACTCGTAGAAGGAGGTAACAATAATGGCGATCCTATGCCACTCTGATGTATTAAATGATGAAGATGTTGAAGATGAGGAGGAACGGAAGGTGGTGGCATACCCAGAGCAGGGCTAATTGTTCCTGTAAAATTAGATAAATTACATTTCAAAATTTTTTTCCCACAGTACTCAAAATGTACTTAAAGTTATTAATAAAAGATTAATTAGATATCCAGCTGTTACCTAGCATCTGAAGAGTCAGTGAAACCGAAGCTTGGAAATGAACCATAAAAAACAGAAGAGGCATATTCTAGATAATGTTAACAGGTAGGTGAGACCTATATATTAAACAGTTTCCTTTTGTGCTTAAATTTTCTTCGAAGACTATTAGAAAATTAGTATAAAAACTAAGATGAGAAAAATTAGTTATTAATGTTAGAATGATATAAAAATAGTAATTTTAAAATATCTGCTTTTAATGAATTCTCTGCAGTTTCTTTATTTTTATAAAAAAAAAAAAATTAAATCATAAAACAATGTTTTATGATTTAAAACAAGTTCATTTCTACGTGTCTTAAACATTAATCTTATCGAGAAACAGACAATTCATTTAAATAGCAGATGTATTGTTATATGAAAATTAAGATGTAAAATTTTTCGAAAACATTTCTTAGAATATCTTCACTTTAAATAAAGATTTTATATTAGTTCAGTGGAGTGCAAGAGAGGAGTTAATCTAAAAATTTTTTTGTAGTTAACAGTTATAATTTCTTAAATTTTAATTTAAAATTAAATGCTTAATTATTACTGTAAGAATCTACATAAAAAATAATTTGATAGCATTATATAAATTTGAAGTAATCATTCAATGTCAATCAAATAAACTGAATTTTTTATTTTATTTGTTCATCAACTTGACATCCAACTTATTAAAATTTTATAATTACAAGTCAACCCCCCTATAACACTGTTGATAATTCCGTTTTATATGAATTCCATGTTGTACGAGTCACTCAGATTTTACAAATACGTGAGCCGTTCACAGCCTGGCACACGTATTTGTAAAATTTAAGTGATTCGTACAACATGGAATTCATATAAAACAGAATTATCAACAGTGTTATAGGGGGGTTGACTTGTATATTTTTAAATTTAAATTCTTTATATTCATATTCTACATCATCATTTGATGATATAAATCGTGTATAAAATATGTAATGCAGTCTTCTGTGTTTCAAGTATATAACTGTCATTATTATATTATAAATTATTCAAATATAGAAATATTCATTTTATATGAAACCTATCTCTACAAATATAATTTCTCTCTTTCTCAATATATATGAATCTATGATGCACTAAATGCTATAAGAATTTTGTTTCTATAAATTGATAGAAAAAACATAATTTCGATTAAGAAGTTAAACTGTATGATTATTGTAAATGCGTGCAGGTATTGCATTATTATAAATATCTGCAGAAAAATAAATGTTTCCATCTTCAGACTCTATAATGAAAGTTAAGAACATAACACTTGTACAGAAAGGTTTTCGTGGATTATTATAATGAAATTTTTTATATAAAAATCAAATTGAAATGCATAACAAATTAAATCTATTAACAGAGTAACCATGAAATCTTTTCTGTGCCAGTTAGAAGTTATCTATATTTTCCTTTCCATTCTCTACACAAATTTTAATTTTTTCCACATTTTCCCATTACAATAGCTTTCTGTGATAGCTAGTTTTGGATCTTCAACTGTCATAAAGTGGGATGATAAATTTTCTCTTCCATAATCTTGCAAAGTGAATTGTCACAAACTATTAACTACAGACTTTGAGGAGGATATGCCACGCCAGATTCATATCTAATCCATCATCCACTGAATCTGTCATTGAGACATTTTCTAAATGGAAAACCCAGGCAACAACCTTCTCATAAATAGTAATTTGTAGCTACTCTAGACTTATATTATACTGAAAATGTTTACAATAAATGAACAGTTTGGCTTCTTAATTAAAGTAATTCATTCCTATTATATCTCCGTTTTATTATTTATTAAATAAAAATTGCGTATGAACTCACGCATGCATAATTTATATCTATATTAAGTTATATTTTCAATTAAAAATGTATCTCAATAAATATAAAAATATATATTTTTAAATCTTGTAGTACAGTCATGAAAATACATTAATCAAAGATACATTTTATCTAAATATTTCCTTTAAAAAAATTACAGAAAAATATAAACTATTATTATGTTGTAATTATGCTTTTTTTTTTAAATCTTTATATCACTCTGTAGATACATGACAAAATTAACAAACTACTCTAATACATTTATTAACCTTATCAGTTAAATAGCACATAATGGTAGAAGCAAGTTGAAAAGTACAATTTATCTATTTACAAATTATCAATAATAATTTAGTTGTTATAAATTATTATTTTTCTAGTTAACAAAGTAAGTTTTTGCTTCCAGTAACTAGCAATTGGGACATCAACATACATCATTTTCTATGATAATTATTCATTCGTCTAACATAACGTATTAATGTTAAGATGTTAGTTATTAAGAAAACTTTAGCCTCTTCTTCTAACTCTTTGCTAATGAGGTTAAAAATTGACCTTTTAAGATAGTAAATAACTTATTTATCAAAATATCTGTCAGTGTTTTATAATTAAATGATATGTAATACAATAACAGGAATAATATAAGTTTGATGACAGATAGAATGCATTTGAGTTCTAGAAAAATAAAAAAAAAAAGAAAGAAAAATATATTCAATCTCATAAACAACCGTGTATAACTGTAATTCCTATAAATGTATATCCATATCAAACAGTTTTACTCATAAAATAAAGCATAGTTATTCTACTTAAATATTTTATTTTCAAATTAAAGTGAAAAATATGAAATAACTGTATATTTAATAACATAAATATATTATATTCATTATTTACAAGGATGTCTATCATCATCGCCTGATAAAATAATGTGATATGCGCAGAAAAACATATTTTAACTTTCAATATCAAATGTAAGAATTATTACTAATAATAATTTCAAAAAATACATATTTACCTGCTGATAGATGGCCGTACGAGCCACTTGTACTGGAACTTCGAGAACCATTCATAAAAGAAACCAGAGAATTGGGAGAGAATCTTATCATAGAGTTAATATCGAAAGAATCGGAATACGGAGAACTAGAAAGCGCTCTTTTTCTTCCATGCCTTATGGCTTGTCTGGAGTTTGCCAATCTGGAACCCTGAACTAAAAATAATACATACTGTATATCATTATGAATAACAACAAAAAATTTTAATTGCTAAAATTTTATTTACAGTTAAAAACAAAATAAATTTCTATTTAAAATTGAATGACGTTAAGAGAAATTTTATTGAATAATTATTAAAATAAAAAAGTCTTTATCTAAATATTCAATGCATAATTTTATTTTAAACTTTTGAAAACTGTTACCAAGCTGTGTGAGATCTGAGATCAAATATATCCTATAAAGCAGTAATTGTTTATTTTTTGAGAGAGAGAAGATCTATCAACAGTTCCAAAGTTCAGTTTGTGAAATGTGTTCATTACTTATACTTTTACATATACAAAAATACAGAACTATTATTTATTTCCTGTACAGCAAGAACCAAAATAGTTTTTTTTTACTTATAAATTACATTAAAAACAGATTTATTATTGAAAAATAGTGTATAAAATTGATTTATTATTCAGTTAATTATCAATAAAATATCTTTTTTTTTTATGTTTTATGCACACTATGATATGAGAATGAAAATGCCCAATCTAAGAATTAACAATAAGATTACTTTGTATAGTTTGTATCTTTTAGTTAATCGTATCACTCTTTAAAGTTTGTAAAGAAGTTTAAAATGTGATTAATGAACAGAAATAAAAGTTTATTTACAACCAATACTGTCGTATTTAATACAAAGTGGCCTCTTGTTGAAATATCTCATTTGAAATAATTTACATAAACACTCTTACTGTACTACATCATCATTATTCAGTAGACAAAAATAATGGTTATATAATAACATGTTACTATCTCTACTCTTTTATATCTTTAAAAATAGTTGGTACTCACCATCCACAGAAAATGATATGTCTGCACCTGCACTGTTATTTGTTTGGTGACTGTGAAACTCCCCTATCAAACATCGTTGGCTAAGTGCCGCCATTTGTTGCAAATAATCCGGATGAAGAGGTAATCCTATAGAGAGATGGCAATTTAATGCTGTATAACTTTAATACATCACTTCTGTTTAACTGAACAGAATTTTCTTTAGATTATATAGTGTTATATTATACACGGTAATTTATTCTTGTATATAAATTTATGTTCAAATTTTATATTCTAGTGATATATCACATTTAAAATGATAATAGATATAATTAGAGTATTGTTCAAACCTCTTGTATCCATAGGACTCAGCCCACGAACGGACACTGGCGATGCAGTGGGGAATGTACTGTACAGTTGGTCCGCATACGGACTAAGTCTGTAGTGAGGATGCATCGGTGATTCGACCTGGTTATTAGCCAGACCTCTCCGCTGGGGAAGAAACGACAGTTCGGATAGAGTGGGACTAGTGACATTACCTGAGAAACTAGAAAATAATTTAAATTAAAAAAACACAAAATGAAAAAATTTACATATTCATACTCTATTATAACTATACATTTTCATTGTATTATTACTTCTTAAAGAAATACATAATAATATTTTCAAACTCCTTTTACATCTCAAAAAATATTGATGAGATATAATTGTTTATCTGTTGCAAATTCTATAGACCTATAATTTAATACAATGTTTTTATTTTTTTCCATTCTTCTTAGAGCTTTCTTTATTTCTTCCTAATCTACTTTTAAGTAGGTGCTTCAGATAAGATATTTCTTTTTATTTTCCTTCATCTCTTTTTTTTTTAAATCTTTATATCACTCTGTAGATACATGACAAAATTAACAAACTACTCTAATACATTTATTAACCTTATCAGTTAAATAGCACATAATGGTAGAAGCAAGTTGAAAAGTACAATTTATCTATGAAGAGCTGCTAGATAAATACAGTAAAACATACATACAACATAAAATGTTAAGTTATATGAGTTTCCTGGACTCCTTAAGAGCTGAGTGATTCAAAAAATAATCAAGTGTCCGGTTTAGCAAAACCTTAACATATGAAAGCAATTGAGAGATTACTTAAAGCTTGAAGAGTGATAACATTTCTGTACATGCAAAAATTCATATTTGTAACCTCTGACCTAATAAATAAAATATTTTTTTTTCATAATTTCAGCTTGTCACGTATAAAAAATTAACTTTCTCTGAGATAAAGGATAACAAACTCTTAATAGCTAACAAGTATTCTACATGCTATTCACTAAAATTTAATTTAAAAATCATATTTAACTGTTATTTTTTGTTATTTAAAACAAATAATATTTGTTTCTTTAAATATTATAACAAATGAAATATTGTTTGTTTTGCATATTTCTCTCTTCATTGTACCACGAACAAGTCATTAGTTTGAATGCAAAAAGAAATGGCTTATTCATTACTCCATTTTTTCTGGATGTATTAATGTAATATATTAAGGAACCAGTTTATTATTCAGATAAGAATTACATTCCAGCATATTTAAAAATGCTTAATTATAATTACAGAATATACTAATATTATAATGAAGAATAAATTGTGTAATAATGATCCAAAATGTAATGTTCCAAATTAATTCTTTAACAAACTATATTAAAATAATTTAAATGTAAAAGAAATAATTAAAAAGCTGACATAAATTACACGGCATGTTTTAAAGTTTGTCATTTTACTCCAAACATAATTTAATCCTTAAGTCTTAATAGCAAGATTAAAAAAATGCGTTGGCATCCTGTAAGTGTCATAAATGAGGAAGAATGTTTGAAAATCTATTTCAGTAATACTTAAATATCATTCAAATTCTCTTAAAGATGAAATATAATAAAATTAAGAATTTATTTATTATTTTTTACAGAAAGTTTTCAATAATGTTATTTATTGATTTATAAAGTTAGAGAAATCTTCAACTGCAGATAAATCTTGAAATTTTTGTTATATTGTGATTTTATTTTTATTAGACATAATAAGATAATAATATTGCTGGATAATATTATTTTATTTGAAAGTTTGTATCAGATCCAATAGCAGTTTTAAGCAATTTAAAGATTTTACTTTGGGCCTCATACTTTCATGCCTTAGATTTGCATAAATATATGCTTGTTAATATTTGTCTTGAACTAGCATTTGAAATCCAATACCCTAAGTAGGATCCTAGACTTCATACAATGTCAAGTAATGTGATTCAGGCTTTATACTATATAAATTTACATAAAAAGTCCTTACAAGTCCATTTGCCTAGGGCTTCACACAACCTAAAATTGCCATTAATCAGATCAAACAGTACAACTTATGCTTTTTAACTCATAAATAATTGATAAAGTAATTCCTTTATAAAAATGGATTGCTTTTCATTTTATTCTGTAATATACTATGTCATTGATGATCTATTTTATATTTACTGTGAAATTATTATTTTTAATTATTTGTTGTTGTAAATTTTTCAAAAACTTTTATGCTTAAGATAATTGAAGTTTTAATTTTAAGGTGATGTATCTTCAATAAATCCATTGATTCCTATCTTCTGCCTCCTCAAAACTCTTTCAGCATTTTTTAAATGTGAAAATATGAGTATGAAGTTTTATTATGTATCACTTAATTCTGAACTACTGAGAAAAATTGTCATAATTTGCAGAGTCATGATGAATGGAGGTTTTGAAAAGTTATTTTTGTAATTCTCAAAACCCTTGGACTGTTCAATTTTCTTTAAATGAATCAAGAAGAGTTCAAGCAAATATTTTTTATAATGACCTTGCAGAATCAACAATACTCAATGCACAAAGATAATTTTGTAATAAAAAAACAAAAAGCTAATTACACAATGGCTAACCTTAAATTTATTTATATAATGGTAGTTTTGCATTTATTTTGTACATCAGTAAAATTCTTTCTTAATATTAAGAACAATTTCCAATTCCATATAATATTCTCATCATAATCATCTCTTAAAGATTTTAATACAGTATATTTCTTTACAATTCAGAGATGTGCTGTAGTAATGAGAAGAAATATGTTATCTTCATCACATTACACTGATATATCAATATAAACACGTCTACATACTGTATTTTCATATATATGAATAATTAATTTTATTAATGAACAGGTAGGTGTAAATCCTAATGACAAACCATACGCTAATCCAAAAACAAATTAGAGTTTATCAACAAAAGATAAATACATTCATCTATTTATTATTTAGGTAGTAGTATACTATCAAAGTATATCAATTCATTCCATCTGATACTTTTTTTCCTCTGAATGAATGTATAGTTTATGTACAATACATTTTTACATCTTAGATGTAAAAATGTATTATTTGTTAAGGTTAAAATATTTTATCAAGATTCAAGAGATACAATTTGTTTAAGAGATTCTACAATCATAACAAGAAGTTCAAATATTGAAGTCTGTATATTTATTACCAGAAACATTAACAAACAATTCCGGTTCATTATCATCTGGTATATCAAATCACACTCTAAAGCTTTGTCATCATCTGATGTCAAAGCTTTAAAGTGTGTATTCCTTTTCATCATTAAAGAGAACATTCTTCTACTTTTATTACTTGATACAGCAGCATTTTATTAAGATCATGATTAATACATTAACAAGATTGGAGAAACAAAGCTTTATCATGAGTGAATAAGTACTGGAGAGTGACAGCGTGAGAATTCCTTCTTCCCGATGAATCATCACCGACAATAAATGTCACCCGCTGCTCCGTTTGTTTCGGTTAACTGCATTTGAAGAAACAGCGGGTATTCACATTCTAATGGAACGAATTATATAATACAGTCTTCAAATTTTAACACAAAGCGTAGGGACGTGGGAAAACACACTTTGAAGTGTGATGGGTTCTACACTTGAATTTTAACAAGAAGCAGTCTTTATTGGTAGTTGTGAGTAGTTAAGTGTATACTTGAATAAGCATTTATATGAAAATATCTGAATAATCAATAAAAAAAAAGTATTATATGTTTATTATATTGCTAATATGTGGATTTCATATTAAACATTTAAATACTGTATTAAAAATGTACAGATAATGTTTTAAGTCCATTGTGTTTTGAATTATATTATATCATTTATAAATATTTAAATATTTTTTATTTGATTATTTTTGTTGCATAATTATAATTTAAACAGCACTTAAATGAATTACTTTAAATTAATAGCCTAATATTAAAAATTATTTTTATGAATAAATAATATAATTAAGATATTGATTATATAGATATCGGTAGATGTCGCTGCGGGTAATATTTAGGTTCAATTAGAGTATTTGCATTTATGTAAATACTCTAATTGAACCTAATTACGATATTTTTTTTTTAAATAAGAATATTTAAACATTAGCTAATTATAATTTGCTTTAGTACGTAGAATTTAGGAAAAAAATTAAAGTTGAAAATAAGTGTTAAGAGTTATAAAGAGCGCACAGCGGCGGAAAGAAGCGAGGAAAAGTTAATTGAGTGTTCAAACGGGGCACGGGAACCTTTTTTGGTAAGGTGAATGCATCTTTACTCGGAAAATTTATACCGTTAAAGGGATTAAACTAGGAGGAGCGGCATACGGAATGATGACTATGGGGTTCCCCCTGTGGGACCCCAAGATCGACATTCCGAGTGCCACTCCTTTGGATACTGCCAGCATCATTTGTGCTTCATATCGCAACTTTAAAATTCAATCTCCTCCCTTAAATCCTTCTCAAAGTCCACCCACGAATTTAGAACGGTTTATATCAAAGAAACCAGTTTTTTTCGACTGCGCAATCGATGTAAAAACTGTCTCGAAATAAGACAAAATAAAAACGCATTCGTCTTTTGTAAGAAAATAATGACTTCATCAAGTTTTTCGCCGAGTGCATCCGTTACAGGGGGAGAGAAAGAGCGAGAGAGAGGAGGAAAAAAAAAAAAAAGTATATTCTTAACTAGGGAATGAAGAGCCGCGAGCAATGTTTGCACGCAAGTCTGTTCGGTGTGCCAGTTCATTATCGTGCATGGCACGACTATAAAAAAGACGAATACTTATCGAATCGCGTTAGAACACAAGAGTCGTGGGGGTACCATCAACGGTGCCCCGATCAAAAGTTCGGATGGACACATTGACTACGCAGCGTTTTTCGCATGTTTTAATCAATTGGCCTTCCTGAAGAGGCTCTCCACGGGTTAATGCGTGGAGAGAATACTTCTGGGTGGGTCCTCCCTAAGTTAAGAAGCCTATAAAAAGACCTGAAATAAGATTAACGCGATGCGATGCCGAATTTAAAAAAAAAAAAAAAAAAACTTAATAAGAAAGCCACTAATGGTTTTCTTGTGTCTATCTATACCCTACAATATCTTCTCAACTTATATTTTTATAAGTATTGAAAGTATCTTATATTTTATAGCTTTATTAGCCTTGTACTTCTTGTACATCAATTATTCTAACATTCTAATTGCGGCTCAAGCCATTTTGTCTACGTGGCTGAGGTTTGGTGTATCATATTTCGGAAGCAATTAACCTGTACTCATAGAAAAATGTATATTACTCGAGTGATCTTGTATCGAGTTAGGAGCAAAGAAAACCGGATTTTTTTTTACACGAAAGTAATTAAAATGTTCATATTAAATCGTCAGAGTTGGATAAATAATTGTTTCTTCGGAAAGGAAGTAACAATTGTAGAAAAAATAAGCATAAAAAAAAAAAATAGAGAGAGAGAGAGAGAGAGAGAGAATAAGTTACTGTTGTAGAGAGATAAGTGGATACAACCATACAAAGAATTGCGGTTTCATCAAAACAAGTCTAGAAAAGAAAAGAAGAGAAAAAAAATTTATAGCTAATTATACAGAACGGCTCATAAAACTACCAAAGTTCCAATTAAAAAAAGAAAATTCGGACACGACTTTACTATTTTTTTTTTTTTCTTTTTTTAAAAGTTCTGACCTAGCGAAAGCGTAACAGAATTTAATTATGAGAGTGGCCGATAGAAATAAGTTATCATTGTTGCATTGACAGATTACCTTTTTTTTTTTAACTTACAAAAGACCTTTGAACGGGTCCTCTAATATATACTGAGTTAACTTTCTATAGAATTTTAATTTTTAAACTTTCTAGAAAAGATTTAGAAGGTTTACATTTAACATCTTATGGAGTTTGAAGGATTATCCTTCTGTAACTCTATAACTTACTGAAGAATCTTCTTGCATCTAATTAATTTTATGATTCTTAAACATTATAAAACTTTGAAAAGATTCTGCGAAGTGTAAATTTATATAATTTACAGTCAAACCTCTGTATAACGGCCGCTGCGAAAGAAAAAAATGGTCTTTGTTGATAGAAGTTACTTTGTTTTTCGTTTAAAAAAAGAATCCTGAAGAAATGGCCACTATTTGGAGGTGGCCGTTATTACAGGTTCGACCGTATAAGATATTAAAGGCGTCGTCAAATCTAAATACAATACTTTAAAAAAAAATACATAAAAGAAAACCTCTTTCATGCCATTCTTTTATGATAAGAAATGTTAATATTTACATTTCTAACACGCAAATTTACCATTTACATAGATTTTACTTAAGATTATTATAATTCAATTGTTTTTAATCTCGAGAAAATGCAAGGTGTTACCGATTCTATTGAATAATTTCGCTTCTCTTTCTTTGTACTAAGATATAATTAAGCTACAAGACACCCCCAGAAAATGACATTTTATTAAGAAATTAAGAAATTTTCAAACGATCGTATCTGCGATAATATATGCGTGATCACAACTCCTAATTGCTAATCTATAATAGTGATTATGCGGCCATTAAATGGGCCCCACTCTGTTTCCGCTCCACTAGGCACTACTCGAGGCAACCCACATTTGCACCCCATATGTCAAGTAAAAGAGAGGTTGATGCACAACCCAAGCCAGGATAACATTTAGTTACAGGCCTATAGAACGTTAAAAAAAAAAAAAAAACGTGATCTTCCTACCTAGGAGAAGGATGAGTAAATGCGTGAAGTCTTGGTTCCCAAACATAGCGACCTTCGTGAGTTCTCTGATCAACTGGAATAGGAGTGTGGACGGTGGCAAAGGCACTGGGAAACTGGAACGGTAAACCTGAAAAATAAACAGACACACAGAAGTTAGTTTAACTGCTTCAGAGTAGAAAAAAAATATATATATATATATAAGTTATATCAGCTTTCAAAGTGGGTTTCTCAGTGTCTTTGTTCTTTNCCCCCCCCGTTTTAACATACAAAATCGCTCCGTTTCGAAGAATTTTTCCGTTTAGACAGGTTTCCGTTTTGCACAGGTTTTACTGTATATAAGTCTATATTTTTTTTAAAAAAAACTTAATTCCTTAATTTTTAGGAAAATAATGTATATTTTCGCATATAACAAGACTTCAATTTATTTTGTACTTTTATAAAAAAATGCAAATATATATATATACACCTACTGTATGTGTATATATATATATATATACACATACAGTCGAATCTCCATCAACGGCCACCTCTAAACGGCGGCTGTCTTTTTTTTTCGGAAACCGTTTCTTTTTAAAAATGCACACAAAATAAACTGCTAACATCCGCCACCTCCGAAGAACGGACATTTTTTTTTTATGTTTCTGTCAGTGGCCTTTGTTCAAAGGTTTGACTGTGCGCGCTGTGTAGCATTTATTCCAGTTACTTTTTTTTAAAAAAAAATAGGAAGGATAAAATTATAAAGAAAATATAGCAGAAAAATTAATAAATTATTTTTCTAGCCTAGAAAAAGTATATTTATACTTGAGAGAAAGCAACACAGAACGACTACATACATAACTTAAACCCAAAACATTATTAGAAATACGTAAGAAGAAAAAAAAAAAATATATATATATATAAGTTATATCAGCTTTCAAAGTGGGTTTCTCAGTGTCTTTGTTCTTTAAATCGTTCGCTTCTCTTTCAGAAATTCAGTAGAACAATACGCTTTAGCAAAGATGGAAGAAGACGAAACACTAATTTAATATATTGAAAACAGTTTAAAGATTTAACGGAGTAATTTTATAATCATTCGGGGATTTTGAAAATGATACAACTTCTTAAGTAGCCCTATTTGTACTCCTAATCCCAAAACTCTCCTTGGAATATGATGTATTTACGTGATGGTAATCTTCTTTTCTAACCTGTTTGTAACTGTAGCGACTTAAAGAAGTAGATTATGTGGGAGAGTTGGGGAACAATACACGGTTTAAACCTATTGTTAGTTTATGTCTTATTATAGAAGTGCTCCCTGGTATCGTTCACGGGTTCGTGATAAAATTTCAAATAGTAGCTTGGCGATACTTTACTGGAGGGGTCTTGTTGTAAATGCCCGTTTCCGAACTGAGATAATAGGCAGTAAACAACAATGTATTCTCATTAGTTCGTATCTTCTAGGGGGAGGTTATTTTTCAGCAGATTCGATGGTAAACAATTAAAAATTGATGAAAGATCGATATATTATCGAATGGCCTACAACCGAAGGGAGCATCTTAGAGAGAGAAAAAAAAATAGCCTACATTTTGGGGAGGTCCACTCGGCGAACTTCGCAACAACAATAATAAACTTATTTAAAAAAAAAAAAAAAAAAAAAATGGTTAAATTTAACTACTTTCGCGGATTTATCCGTACGAAATGCGATCTTCTTGCTAAATTAAGTCTGTCTGTTTGTCTGTTTTGTCTTTTGAGTATATAGAAAACCATGCTAATTGACTCGACTTATATTTTTATGTATAAGAGAATAATAATTGCTGAACGATAATATCTGGTAATAGAATTTTNAAAGAAAACTTCCGCATCTCCGCAACCACGAATGTTATAAAGGGAATAAACACATAATGCATAAGTTTGACAGATTGAAAACCCAGCCCATCCTGCACGGCCAGTTTGATTATGCAGCTTCTTCAGTGGAATGCTGATCACTCTAGCACGCTGTGTCTGCAGGATAAGTGTAATTAAGTTTTCACAGTCAGACCCCCTCAATGGGATAGTTTCTCCGACAATGAGTGGAGAGGGAACCTGTCAGAGCTGACTGATGGATTCCAGAATAGTCCGGAGGGTTAGTAAACTAGCTTTCTCATTTATCTGCAGGCAAGTAACAAGTCGTTACTTCGTCCGAGTGCTAGCGTTACTTAGTAAATTCTACAGTTAAAAAAAAAATAATTATTAAGTCTTCCCAAAATCAAACAGGAAAGGAGCACCCCTCGCTATCTATTCTACAAGTTTGTAGTGTATAGTAAACGTGTGTATCCTGTACACACGAATAATTATTCGTACTAAAGCCGTGTTAGGACATCCTCTAGCACCTGCTTGCATAATCAAACAGGTTATAATTACGTTCCCAGAGTAATATTTTTTCATAATTGATTATAATGTAAACATTGAGACCTTAAAATTATTTTTGTTGTAAAGTTATAAGAAGTTTATAGATTAAGTCGTATCACGGATCGGTAAGTGGTAGCGAAGATAATTGGCCTAGAATAGATAAGCGATCAAAATTCGATAAGGAAAATGGCGGCCGAGCGGAATACATTCAAAGTTTTTAATGAAATCCGAGATGTAAGTCAGTGGTATGAAAGTGATGGCAAGACTACGTGACGATTCTAGTTACAGTAGATCACTTAGTTTAACTTTTAGAGGGACTTTTTTTTTCTTTCTTTCTTCTTCTTCTCTTCTGGTTCCGTTGGCGTTGAGGGATTTTTAGGTTGGGTAGCCCTTGGCACATGATGTATTAAGCCGAACATAATCTGCTTTGTGAACCTGTCCGCGGCTATCGGGGTGCAACCTTTTTTTTTTTTTTCTTTTTCTTCTGCTTAAGAAGAAGATTTGGTTGGCGAAATAGAAAGGAACAAATCATCCGAAAGGAACATTAATAGATGTTGGATATATAATGAAGGCTGAAAGTTCGCTGTCCTAATCAATCAGGCTAGGGACAAAGAAGCTGTCATATTTGTTAGGTGCCGAAACAATGACTGCAGACGAAATGATGAAAATGTACTTTTTTTTTTTCTTGCTTAAAAAAAATGTATTATTCCATAGTTTTCGTATACGGGAATCTTACTTTAATGTTAAATAACTGATAAAAAAAAACGTCACAAATTCACCAACTCCTTTGTTCTGAAAGATGTGTTAACGAAAGGTATCGCGGATTTGTTTTAAACTTCGACTTACCCCGCGGGTTTTTTTTTCTCTATAAATTTATACACAGAATCGCTAGCGGTGAAGTAAAAAAAAAATGGCGGAATTCGTGTTACAAGACTGTTAAAGTTGAAATTAACGATCCACCTGCCGTTTGTTTAACAGTATGCTCATTGTTTTCTTCTTCTTTATTCAAGTATGCCGATATATCTACACATATGTATTAGGTATCAGGTATTCGGATGATTCATTCTTAAATGTAGATACTAGAATACGTCGTCCATGAGAAAGATTAATAAATAAAAGATCCTCTTGAATGGATCCACTTATCATATTTTTTGGGGTTGATTGCGATGTTAGTTAGTCATGCGGCTAAAAAAGAAAAAAAAAACCCGAACGGTGCTGCTGCTTTTTTCTCCCTTTTGCTTCGAGATAATTACGCAATACATGTAACTTAATGGACCATTGTGATCCCTTTTTTTAAGGGCATCAAAGTCAGTTATGCTTGTGGAATGTGATGATCTTTTTTTCTTTTTCTTTTTTGTAAGAATTAAAATCAGTTGTAATTGAAAATGATTTCACATCTGTAGCATCTGAATCTACAGAATGTGTTACTTTTTAAAAGGCATTTCTAATTTTATGATCCTTCTTAATTAAGGATTTTTTTAAACTAATTACAAATGATCTCTTTCTTAAAGGCTTGTATGACTGCATAAAATAAACTTATCTTCCTTTATAAGTAAGATAAATTAATATTTTTCATCAATCATAACTAATTTATGCTACATCTCAAGCATCAGGGATCTTCTCAGCATCACTATTTTTAATGGCAATGAAGTTAATTAAGTATTGTTATGAACAATCCTGCTTCAATCAGATCTTAAAGGAATTTAAATTAATTATAATGTAAAATAATCTCCTATATGAGCTTTAAATTATGTACAATTATAAAATATATTAATCTTTCTAAAGCATAAAAGTTAATTCTAATTAGATCCTTAATTGAATCCTTAAAAAAATGAATCACTTTACTAAAGGATTCAAATCTATTTATTCTTAAGGAGAATATTAATCATGATCCTTTCTGCAGGCATTTAAATTAATTCATAGTTATAAATTATCTCTTTTTCAAGGCTTTGAGTATATAGAATACAGCAATATATCTCTTTATAAATCAGCAATAAATATGGAAAATGTAAATTATGTTATCTGAAGAATATTTAATTGTAATTATATCCTTAATTTTTAATTAGGAACATTGGCACAATTATCATTTTCACTCATAAATTGATAATTTTCTTTATGGGAATTCAAATTAATGGTTTAAATCTGTGGAATGTGTTAATTGTTAAGAGCAATTCCATTCTTCACTATTAATATAAATGAGCCTTCAGAACCGAAGGCTCTCTCACAGGCTTTAAACCCTTGAGTGAAATTTTACATCAATTATGGCATGAAATTATGTTATCTCAATGCATAAAGGTTAATCATGAGTTCTTAATTCTGAAATTCCCTTTAAAAAAATTGGTAAGTTCTGAAGAAGAATCACCAGTTTTTAAGGGTATTAATTTTAATTATTGATTGTAAGAATTAAACGAATTTAAACCCTGTAAAATCCTTTAATTTACTAGAACAATTCTGAGTCTTTCCTAAAGGCATTTAAGTTAATTATAATTACGAATGGTCTGAAGGGATTGAAAGTATGCACGATTGTATACAGTACAATAATGTTTATAAGTCGTTTATGAATATGGAAAATGGTAATTTGCATCAATTATGATGATAAATTATGTTAAATAAAGGTACAGTTACGAGTAGATCCTCATTAAAAACCATTTTAAAGGTATTTAGTTTAATTATTGTTATGGAATGTGCTAATAGAATGATTGGACGAAGAAGAAGAAGAAAGAAAATAGCCACGAATTTCTAAGGAACGGGCTCAAAATTTGC